TGCTAGATTATAAACCTTTATAGGCTGCAAGTGTTGCAAATATCTTTTTCCCCACTCTGCGGCTTGTTTTTTCACATTCTACATCAGTGTCTTTTAATAAAGGAAGAATTTTAATTTTAATCTAGTATATTTGGTCATTTTTATCTTCGAGTCAACATTTTTGTGATCAAATAATAATAATAAACCCTAGCTGGGCTCAGTGGCTCAGCCTGTAATCCCGTGCCTTTGGGAGGCTGAGGTGAGTGAACTGCCTGAGCCCGCGGGTTCGAGACCCGCCTGGGCAACTTGGTAAGACCTTATCTCTACAATAAATCAAAATAAGCTGGGTGTGGTAGTGCACGCCCGTAGTTCCAGCTACTTGGAAGGCTGAGGCAGAAGGATCACCAGAGCCCAGCAGGTTGAGGCTGTGGTGGCCAGGAGTGGCCACTGCACTCCAGTCTGGGTGACAGAGTAAGACTCCAACTCTTAAAAAAAAAAATAAATAAATAAATAAATAAATAATAATAATAATAATAATAAACCCTGCCCTATTAAGGTTACAAAGATATTCTCCTATGTTGTCTCCTGTGAGTTTTCTTTAATTTACCTAAAATGGATTTTTCTGTATGTTGTGAGTTAGGGATCCAATTTCATCTTTTTCTAACTGTCACAGCACCATGCATTAAGAATCTATCCTTTGATCAGTGGTATGTAATTCCACCTCTTTTATATACCAAGTTCTTAGGGTCTGTTTCTGACAGCTTCTGTTTCACTGGACGATTTGGGTTTCCCTGAGTCAATTTTAAACTAAGCCTTGATACTGTTAAAACAAGTGCTCTCTTCTTATTCTTCCTCTTCCAACTGACCCCACAAAATGGACTTAATCTTCTCAACATTTTAAAATGAACTTGCTATATTTCCCAGAAAACTCTATGGGGCTTTAGAGTAAAAACATACTGAATACACAGATCAATATAAGCAGCAGCTTTACTATATTGAGTCCTCAGTCAAGAACATCCTGTCTCTATTTATTTGTCTTGTTTAATGTCTCTTAATAAAGCTGTAAATTTTTCTCCATTAAAAATTTTAGGCCGGGCTTGGTGGCTCAGCCTGTAATACCAGCACTTTGGGAGGCTGGGGCGAGTGGATTGCCTGAGCCCGTGGGTTTAAGACCAGTACGGGTAACTTGGTGAGACTTTGTCTCTACAATAAATAAATAAATTAATGGGGTGTGGTAGCACACGTCTGTAGTTCTGGCTACTTGGAAGGCTGAGGTGGAAGGATCGTCTGAGCCCAGCAGGTCGACACTGGGGTGGGCTGTGAGTGTGCCACTGCACTCCAGCCTGGGTGACAGAGTGAGAGAGACTCCAACTCAAAAAAAAAAAAAAATTTTATACATCTTTGTTAATTCCCATTTAAGTCAAAGATAGTTACATCAGGTAAAGAGAAACTATACTAAGCATTTCAAACACAAAGGCATTTTAATACAGAAAATAGGTCCTTTCAAAACAACTGGCAAGGCTTCAGTGAACAAAAGTAAAGTGGGCCACTTCTGGCCTTCCATCTCACCCCTGCAGTCATAGTTAAGAGAGTCAAGAAGCTACTGTCATCTATATGTTAGAAAATTGCTGCCAATATCACAGCTGCTCTACAGCCCAGAGGCAACTAACCAGCAGGGGAAATGTGGAAGATGTACCTTCCCACATCTCCTGAGATGCCTCTCCTGGGACAAATGATATCCAGAAGCCTACTGGCAGGAGGGTATAAGTGCTATATATTTCCAGTCTTTTAGCCTCTGAAATCCAAGGAATAGCACAGAAGGGAGAGGGAAAGTACTGAGTGCCCAGGCTGTATCTAGCATACCATCCATTTTACATATTCGAAATCTAAAACTACTGGTTTAATGTCACATCCGCTCCCATTTTCTTTGTCCCTGTGGTTTTACATCTTTTACACTCTTCTTTAGCAGGCTTTTAGCAAGGCAATGAAATAACCTTGTGAGGTCACACCAGAAATCCTAAAGTCTTTGTTCAAAAGCAACCTGACTGAGAATGGCTAGGGCTTCCCACGGAGTTATTTAAACTTTTGCCACATGTAGGAAGGTCAGAGTTCTTGGAGCCAGGTGGTTATCAACTAATCCCCTGTGCCCCCGCAAACACATAGAGTTTTCTTCTTCTTCCTTTTTGTTTTTTAGTGGAGACAAGAAGAGAGTATTAACAAGTTCTTGATTCTATATCCATGATTTTTTAAAAATGTCTTTTGAAATAAACTAGAAAAAAAAATCACAAAATTTGGCAGTTATTAATTCAGGAAAGTGAGAAAATATATAATATGTTATTCTTTGTAAATTTTTATAGCTTAAATTTCTCAAATCCCAACATTAAGACCAGTCAGGGATCAATCTGAGACTGGCCATGAAGGCTCATGCCTATAATCCTAGCTCTTTGGGAAGCTTAGGCAGGAGAATTGCTTGAGGCTAAGAGTTTGAGATCAGCCTGGACAGCATAACAAGACCCTGTCTCTATAAAAAAAAGAAGAAGAAATAGCTAGCTATGGTGGTGTGCGCCTGTACTCCTAGCTACTTGGGAGGCTGAGGCAGGAGGAGAGCTTGAGCCTGGGAGCTTAAGGGTTCAGTTAGCTATGATCATACCACTGAACTCCAGTTTGGGGACAGAGTGAGAAAAAAAAAGAGGGCAAGCAAGAAATCGGTCTGCTTACCACCCACCTCCCTGATTGTACCCTTGGGAAACTCATAGTCTAGAAGGAGAGCTCAAGCACAGACACTAGAAATGGTGAGAATTACCAGCGGTTCTAGATGCTGTAAGAGAGAGGGACAGATCTGGTGCTGGCAGAAGTCAACCTATACCCAGGAGTAGAAATGCCCTCTCACTGTGGTAGCATCTGAGCCACTCCCTGAAGGACAGTGTATTTGTTCATGCAGAAATAGAATGAGGGAATTCCAGAAAAACAGAAAGGCATAAAGGAAGCATATAGTTAGGAAACTATTATTATTATTATTATTATTATTTTTTGAGTTTGAGTCTCACTCTGTCGCTCAGACTGGAGTGCAGTGGCCGCTCCCAGCCACCTCAGCCTTGAACTGCTGGGCTCCGGCGATCCTTCTGCCTCAGCCTTCTGAGTAGCTGGAACTACAGGCGCGCGTTACCACACCCAGCTAATTTTTGATTTATTGTAGAGATGAGGTCTCGCCAAATTGCCCATGTGGGTCTCGAACCCGCGGGCTCAGGCAATCCACTCTCCTCAGTCTCCCAAAGCGTGGGATTACAGGCTGAGTCACCAAGCTTGGCTGGAAACTATTATTATTATTATTATTATTATTTTAAAGGTAATAACTCCAGTCAGGATGGCCATCATCAAGAACTCAAACAGCAGATGCTGGAGAGGATGCAAAAAGGGAACACTTCTACACTGTTGGTGGGAGTAGAAACTAGTATAGCCTCTGTGGAAAACAGTTTGGTGACTCCTAAAAGATCTAAAAATCGACCTCCCATATGACTTGCAATCCCCCTACTGGAAATATACTCGGAGGAACTCAAATCACTCTATGAAAAAGATACCCGCGCATGCATGCTTACTGCAGCATTATTCACAATAGCAAAAACATGGAACCAATTGTGCTGTCCACCAAAAGAAGACTGGATAACTGTGGTACATATACACAATGGACTATTATTATGCAGCCACAAAGAAGGACAAAATCATGAACTTCACAGCAACTTGGACAGACCTACAGTCGATAATACTGAGCGATCTATCACAGAAACAAATAACTGAGTATCACATGTTCTTTCTCATAAACGGACCTCGAACAATTATCATAATACTGTAAGAAAGGGCACACCTCATCAGCAAGGGTATCTACACAATGAACATTTGAATACCTAACACTGAATTGTATCCCAAATCTTCAAAATTTAAAAAAGAAAACCAAGAAAGGTAGGTTTATTAAAGGCAAGATACATTGTGAAGGGCACAACAGGCAGAACAACAGCAAGAGTCTGTCTGCTGCTTGGAAACTATTAATGGGGCAGGCACAGGAACCTGCTCAACTGAACCCCAGAAAGGAAAGCAGTGAGAGAGAAATGAGGTTGGCAAAGCAGACCTAAGGCAGACTGCGAAGGAGCCTGAATGCCAGGCCAAGCATTTAGGCTGTGATCTCAAGCTGGGGTAAGACACACCTTCCTCTTAGGAGCTTGATCAGAACCACCTAGGGTCTTAAACAAATCTGTGTATACATATATATGTGTGTCTCACATATACACACACATGCACGCACATGATCCTACATCCTCCACTCAACCCAAGTTGAGAAAGATGGACGTAGTAAACACTGTTATTCAAGGGATGCATTACATTTCTACATTCCTTGAGGCAACAAAAACCAGATACTGGGTACAGAGCCGACAATTAAAACTTTTTGTGGCCTCTCAATACATTTTTAGGAGGCTACACTTTACCAGGAGAAAACCCAAGAGTGCAAGGTTACTAGTAAATGAGCAAGAGGGGGAAGGAGTGCCAAGGTCAGTTTAAGCACGCTTGCAATCTACGCAAGTAAAAAACTGCACTTGTACCCTGTAACTTTATACAAAATATAAAAAATAAAATAACATACTCATCAGCTAAGTCTCAAGAGGCATCTACATCCAGAGCCAGAGTGAGGCCAAAGAGGCATCAAAGGTGCAACCCCTCAGCAGGGGTTCACTCTCACGGTCATGCAAGTTCAGGGACAGCATTGCCTCCTAAAATGTGACGGCCTAGGTACCTCACTTGCCTCCCCACAGTCCAGAACCTGCCATCCATCTTAGAAAGGATCTGTCAATGGTGGGCACCTATTTTTTTAAAACAGAGAGAAAGAAAGGAGATTAGCTCAAGCTAATTTTCTAATATGTGAGAACAGAACAGGGTACCAGGCCACACTACCTCCTCCCACATGAGGCACAGTTGCCCAGCCACAACAAAGAGGCAAGGTCACATGCATCCCACCTGCTCAACACACTCACCTGGACAGTTGGCTTCGTCACTCTCATCCTCACAAGTTGCCCAGCCGTCACACTGCCAGGGGAGGGGGATGCATTGGATGGTGCCACTGTGACAGGCAAACTGCCCAGGGTTGCACCGCAGCTCTGTGAAACCAAAGGGTGATAGGCTGTTGAGAAAGCAGCGATAACAGCAGAGACTGGAGCAGCAAGGCCCTGCCACCACTGAGTCCTAGGAGAACAGACAGATACCCTCAGTCCACCTCCTTGGGAGGGCCTGGGCATGCGTTCCCTAAAGGAGGAGCCAAGAACTGAAAGAGCAATACTCCCCCCTAGACAGTAATTGTTATAATGTCAACTCAAACACATACTCTGAGTTGGGCTATGCACTGGGCTGTAGAGGACACAGATGAGAGGGTACATCTTTTGCCTTCTAAGGGAGTGTAGGACAACAGGACGGGACACACACACAGAGGCTTCTGACAAAGAACAAATGGAGATGCCATCATTGGAGCATTCAAACGGCATACCAAAACAACAAAAAGGAAGGAGAAACTGGCTTCAATTGATGGCTTTTGGAATGATTTTTAAAGAAGGTGGGACCTGGCCAGGCACAGTGGCTCAGCCTGTAATTCCAGCACTTTGAGAGCCTGAGGACTGCCTGAACCCGAGGGTTCAAGATCAGCCTGGGTAACTTTGGTGAGACCTCGTCTCTACAATAAATCATAAAATAAGCTGGGCATAGTAGCATGCACCTGTAGTTCCAGCTACTTGGAAAGCTGAGGTGGAAGGATCACCTGAGCCCAGCAGGTTGAGGTTGTGGTAGTCATGAGCGTGCCACTACACTCCAGCCTGGACAACAGAGTGAGACTCCAACTCAAAAATAAATAAATAAATAAATAAATATGGTTTTACTGGAACACAGTCACTAATATGTATTGCTTATAGTTGCCTTGGAGCTACAACAGCAGAGCTCAGTGGCTTCAACAGACACTTCATGGCCAGCAAAGCTGAAGATATTTATTGTCTGACCCTTTAAGAACATACTACCTAGAAATATAAACTATAAGGCCTGAGATGAAAAATACACTGCAGAGGACTAACAGATTAGATTCTGTAGAAGAAAAGGTCAGTGACTTCTTAAGTCTTAAACTATAGGTCTATCTTAAACTATAGATCTATCACCTAAAGGTAGACTATGATACGTTAAAGATGAGTACCACTAAAATAACACAACAAGAATTATAGTGTCTAATACAACAAAGAAAATAGAATAAAAAATGCGCAATCCAAAAGAAGACAGAAGAAAAGGAAAAAGATGACAAAAAACAGATGGTACAAATAGAAAACAAATGACAATATGGTAGATTTCAATTAAACTCACAAACTGGTAAGAATATGGAGTGATCTAGCCAGATACCTGGTGGCTCACGTCTGTAATCCTGGAACTTTAGGGAGGCAGAAGTGAGAGGATTGCCTGAGCCCAGGGGTTGGAGATCAGCCTGGATAACTTGGCGAGACCTCATTTCTACAATAAAAAAAATTAGCCAGGCATGGTATCGCATGTCTGTAGTTCCAGCTACTTGGAAGGCTGAGGTGGAAGGATTGCCAGAGCCCAGCAGGTTGAGGCTGCGATGGCCAGGAGCGTGCCACTGGACTCCAGTTTGGGTGACGGAGAGAGACTCCAACTCAAAAAAAAAGAAAAGAAAAGAAAAGAAAAAAAGGTCTCAAATCAACGACCAAAACTTCTACTTGAAGAAATCGGAGCTGGGTTTGGTGGCTCAGCCTGTAATCCCGCGCCTTCGGGAGGTTGAGGTGAGTGGATTGCCTGAGCCCGCGGGTTCAAGACCCGCCTGGGCAGGCAAGACCTCATCTCTACAATAAATCAAAAATTTAGCCGGGTGTGGCAGTGCACACCTGTAGTTCCAGCTACTCGGAAGGCTGAGGTGGACGGATCGCCGGAGCCCAGCAGGTCGAGGCTGCGGTGGCCGGGAGCGGCCACTGCACTCCAGTCTGGGCGACAGAGTGAGACTCCAACTCAAAAAAAAAAAAAAAAGAAATCAGAAAAGGGTAGGGAGTGGTGGCCGATGACTGTAATCCCAGATTTTTGGGAGGCTGAGATAGGAGGATCACTCAAGTCCAGGAGTTCAAGACCAGCCTGGGCAACATAGTGAGACCTTATCTCTACAAAAATTTTTTCTGGAAAAGTAAAAATAAATTAGAAAAGAAGAGCAAGTGAAACCCAGTAAAAATAAATAAAGATCAGAGTGAACACGTGATGAAATTAAAAACAGAAAAACAATAAAGAAAATCATGAAAACAAAAGCTTTTTTTTTTGAGATCAATAACATTAGTAAACCTATAGCTAGACTGGTTGGGGAAAAAGTAAAGAACACAAAATACCACTGTCAGAAGAGAGGTGTCATCACTATGAATTTCAGAGAAATTAAAAAGGTTAATTTTTACAAACAACATTATGTCAATAAATTTGAAAACTTAGATAAAACACACAAAGTCCTTCAAAGATGAAATGTACAAAACTTACTCAAACTAGCCGGGCTCGATGGCTCAGCCTGTAATCCCACGCCTTGGGAGGCTGAGGTGAGTGGACTGCCTGAGCCCGCGGGTTCGAGACCTGCCTGGGAAACTTGGCGAGACCTCATCTCTACAATAAGTCAAAAATTAGCTGGGCTTAGTAGCGCACGCCTGTAGTTCCAGCTACTTGGAAGGCTGAGGTGGACGGATCGCCGGAGCCCAGCAGGTCGAGGCTGCGGTGGCCGGGAGCGGCCACTGCACTCCAGTCTGGGTGACAGAGTGAGACTCCAACTCAAAAAAAAAAAAAAAACAAACTTACTCAAACTGATAACCTGAATAACTATAAAAAAATTAGATTTGTAGTTAAAAATCTTCAAATAAGGTGGGTGGAGGGGGGCACAACAACAGTAAGCGTACCTGATCTCTCAAACTAGGCAAAGTGGGGGCCAAAGGAAGGCCCAAACTTTACCTGTACAATGATCACCTGTGTACCTAATCCTGAATTGTAACCCATATCTTTAAAATTAATTAATTAAATTGAAAAAAAAATTCAAACAAAGAAACTCCAGGCACAAATGGCTTCACTGGAAAATTCCACTAAATATTTAAGGAACAACTAGTATCAATTACATACAAACTACCAGAAATTCAAATATTAAAAAATTACCATTAACAATAGATTCAAAAATACTTGAATGAATGAATAAATATAACAAAAAGTGTGAAGTGCTGTACACTGAAAATTTTAAGATATTGCCAAAAGAAATTTTTAAAAGATCTAACTAAACCTTTGGTGAGATGTACAGAGTTCATAGATCAGCAAACTCAAAATTAAGATAATGAATCTAAACGTATAATCTGATACTAACTTTGCCTGATGCATGTAGTAAAAAACACGTTTGAATATACTTTACATTAAAAATGAAAAAAAAAAGTGTGTGAAATAAAATTTACATTGTCAAATTAAAAAAAAAAAAGATAATGAATCTACCCACAATGACCTACAGTTTCAACGTAACCCCAATCAATAGTCCAGCAGGATTTTTTGTAGAAATTGACAAAATGACTCTAAAATAAATAAAGAAATACAAAGGACTTAGAACAGAATACCCCCAAACAACTTTGAAAAGAAAGAACAAAGTTAGAGAACTTACATTGTTTGACTTCAGCACTCATTATAAAAGGAAAAGGAATCAAGACACTATGGTATAAGTAAGTGTCAAAACAGACATCAAGATCAGTGGAACAGAATAGAGAGTGCAGAGACAGATCCATACATATGTGAGCAACTAATTTATGACAAAGGTGCAAAGGCAATTCACTGGAGAAACCACAGTCCTTCCAACAAAATGGAACTGGGACAAGTAGGAAGAAAGGAGGAGGAGGAGGAGGAGGAGGAAGAGGAGGAAGAGGAGGAAGAGGAGGAAGAGGAGGAGGAGGAGGGGAGAGGGAGAAGGGAAAAGGAGAAACAGGGAGGAAGAACAACTACTAGTCTGATCCATTCCTAGATATTTACCCAACAGAAATGAAAGCATATATATTCATATAAAGACTTGTCCACAGTAATTTTATTTGCAATATCCAAAAGCTAGAAACAAACAATGTACCTCAACAAGTGAATGGATAAATAAACTACTACAATGGAATAATACTCAGCAAAAAAAAGGAATGAACTATTGATACATTCAGCACATGGATGAATCACAAAATAATTATCCTGAATGAAGAAGCCAGTATGTACTCAAAAGAATACCTACTGTCTAACTCCATTCTTATAAAAATCTAAAAACTGCCCACACAGTTATAATGACAGTAAGCAAGTGAGAAACGGGGTGGTGGGAGTGAAAGAAAGTATTTGGGGTGATGATATGGTATGCTCCTTATATTAACTGTGTGATGGTTTCATATGTTTATACATCTATCAAAACTTCTCAAATTTTATAATTTAAATATGTCATTTATTTGAAGTCAATTATACCTCAATAAGGCTGTTAAAAAAAAACTATCATGAAACAGACTTTAGTTTATATAAGCAGGAAACAATTTTGAGGTGGAAAGATACTGATCACAAGACTAAAAATCTAGGCACTTCTAGGACTGTATCTTCCTGGAATTGAAGAACAGTCCTAAGCTTCTGCCTCTGGAAAAGACAGGCTTGACTTTCCCTGCCTCCTGGGCGGGAGCCAGATCCTTTTCACAATTATAAACCTGAAGCTTATCTCATGACAGACACTGAAGAACTATTATTTCATAAGTGAATCAACAACTGGGATAGTCCCTTCTGACCTAAAGTCTGCATTAACTAAGCTGCAACTAGCCGGCTCGGTGGCTCAGCCTGTAATCCTGCGCTTTGGGAGGCTGAGGTGAGTGGATTGCCTGAGCCCGCGGGTTCAAGACCTGCCTGGGCAGCGAGACCTCATCTCTACAATAAATCAAAAAATCAGCCGGGCGTAGTAGCGCATGCCTGTAATTCTGGCTACTTGGAAGGCTGAGGTGGAAGGATCGCCGGAGCCCAGCAGGTCGAGGCTGCGGTGGCCGGGAGCGGCCACTGCACTCCAGTCTGGGCGACAGAGTGAGACTCCAACTCAAAAAAAAAACAAAAAAACCAAAAA